TTCCCTAAAGTAGTGTTTCGCATTAGCTATGGATGAAAAGACAAACAAGTACATGTATATTCAATAATAATGTCATCTGGGTCAGAGAAGAATAGGAAATAAAACGAATTCATAACACCTCTGGAGATAGCTTTCTGATACAGGCAGTTTTCTCTTTGATTTGCCCTCATTGACAGTGTTCATTGTAACTTTAACATATCCACCAAATCGGCCTTTATTAATTGCTAGCCTGATCTTCATAACAAATATACTTTGTAATCTCCAGTCTGGGTGTTTCTGAGGTTAACAATTACATAGAGCAGCATAGATCGTATGTGTATTTACAGGGATCTCTCACTCAAGAGGGCCTCATTTCATGTCCAAACTACCCAGACAGTGTTTGGGAGAGCTGTAGATACAGAGCTCTTCTGTCTCAGGGCTTTGAAGCTGAAATGGGTTACCTCTTTAGATATGATAGTGAAATAGTCACCTTGGATTAAGGTTGCTGGCAATCTTAAAAAGCCTTTATTGGGCTTTGAGTGTGATCAGATGCTACTTGCTTATAAATGAGAGTTAATAGAAACATTAAACAGCACAAGCTACTGTGACCCATGTCTTCAGAATATCAAGCACATTTTAGAATTGTGGAAGACGATCTAGTCCTGTGCTTTCTGTAAAATATTACCTCTTCGAACCAATATCCTCTGGGAGCAGGTTATTTGAACTCTCCAGCATTCTACTTTCGTTTGCACATACTGTGTATTTTTAATTTATTCCTTCACTTCTCTGGCTACCATATATTTATTGTTGAAACTGTACTCAGTTTCTCTTTAATTATTCCATCTGCCAGGAGAGTGTGATGCATTTCAGAAGCTGTGTGGTTTAGTTGTTTAACCTTTGAGTTTTGTAACTGAGCAGGATGACTTATTCTTCATTTAGCAGAACAGGCTAAGAAGAATTATATACTCCAAGTGATAAGCTTGGAACTGCTAAAGAAATACCAAAATCCAATTTTTTTCCTCTCTCTAGTCATCTAAACATCCATTAGTCTCTTGAAGGGATCTCATAAATCCTGCAAATTTAGTTTATCTGAAACTAACTCTTAACAGTTGTCCTTCCTACTAATCATGTTTTATACCCATTTTATATTTTTCAATATTCAATAAACATGTCTTGCGCTTACTGTACTTGTTAGAAAGTGTCTGCATTATAGGCTGTATAAGGACAGTTATTAATCATCCATTTCATATGGCTGTTTGGCTAGTTTAGTAAGTGTATTCATTTATCTTTTTTATGTTTTCTTCTTTGTTCTTTCCATTTATGCAATATGGAATTTCCTTTGTCCTTTTTGGCTTATTTCTACCAGGATATGTCAAAAAGGAATTTAACATGTAACAAATGAAAAAAAACCCAAACCACAATAACAGAAAAAATCAACACACCACCCTTTGGGCTTTGTTCCTTAAAAGATCCTTTGTATTATGTCCTCTTAGATCTGCATTAAAAAATAATAATAGAGCGCGTTTTCTAGCAGTGCTGCTTTAAAGCAGTGGATAATTTACCATTAAAGTGAGATGCAAGTTTAAAAGTAGGAGTGTAGAACTGAATTGGAATTAAGACACAGAATGATGTAGTCCTGTATGAAGATGGTCTTGGTTTCCTGGGGGTATTGTCCTTCTGGTGTGTAATGAGACTTGCAGATAACAATCTGCGACTGTGGGTAGATCAAGGTACAGTGATACATTGAGGATGGTACAGCAAGTAATGACGCTGCGGAAACAAATGCATGTGTCTGCTAGATAAACCACATTAAAAGTTCCTGTTCAAGTCCAGGCCTCTAGAGATTAATATTTCCTGAAAAGTTGCGTTTTGGGTTTGTGTGGCAAAGTTTTGGTAGCAAGTGGAGCTACAGGGGTGGCTTATGTGAGAAACTGCGAGAAGCTTCCCTCGTGACCGATAGAGCCGATGCCAACTGGCTCCAAGACAGGCCAACCGCTGGCCAAGGCTGAGCCCATCAGTGACAATGGTAGCGCCTCTGTGATAACGTACTTAAGAAGGGCGGAAAACTGCTGCACAACAGGAGCTGGGAGAGAGGATTGGGAAGATGTTGGAGAAACAACTCTGCAGACACCACGGTCAGTGAAGAAGGAGGGGAGGAGGTGGTCCAGGTGCCACAGCAGCGATTCCCCTGCATCCTGTGGTGAAGGGGTGATGCAGGCTGTCCCTCTGCAGCCCATGGATGTTAGCTTAAGGTTAAAACAGACTTGAGCAGATATCCACCTGCATCCCATGGAGGACCCAATGCCAGAGCAGGTGGATGCACCCAAAGGAGGCTGTGACCCCGTGGAGAGCCCATGCTAGACCAGGCTCCCATCAGGACCTGTGACCCCATGGAGAGAGAAGCCCAGGCTGGAGCAGGTTTTCTGACAGGACTTATGACCCTGTAGGGGATCCACTCTGGAGCAGTCTGTTCCTGAAGGACTGTGCCCTGAGGAAAGGAATCACCTGGAGCGGTTTGTGAAGAACTGCATCCTGTGGGAAGGACTCACGTTGGAGAGGTTCATGGAGGAGTATCTCCCATGGGAGAGACTCCACACTGGAGCAGGGGAAGAGCATGAGGAGTCCTCCCCCTGAGGAGGGAGGAGCAGCAGAAACAATGTGTGGTGAACTGACCACAACCCCCATTCCCCATACCTCTGTTCCACTCAGGGGGAGGAGGTGGAGAAATCGGGAAAAAAGTTAAGCCTGAGAAGAAGGGAGGGGTGGGCGGAAGGTGTTTTAAGATTTGGTTTTATTTCTCATTACACTACTCTGGTTTGATTGGTAATAAATTAATTTCCCCAAGTCAAGTCTGTTTTGCCTGTGATGGTAATTGCTGAGTGATCTCCTTGTCCTTATCTCGACTCACAAGCATTTTGTTGTATTTCCTCTCCCCTGTCCAGCTGAGGAGGGGAGTGATAGAGTAGCTTTGGTGGGCACCTGGCATCCAGCCAAGGTCAACCCACCACAAATTCTTCTTTTTAGAAGATTCTTTATCAATGCTACAGTCTTACTTTCACGGGTTCACGTATTACAGGGAGGCATCTGCCGTTTATCAGGACGTTAATGACTAGTAGTTATGTGTCCAGATACTTTGTAACCACTGAGCTGCCCGACAACAGAGGTCACCGAAAGACAGACGACTTACAAACCGGTTTAAAGATCTCCTTGCACTTTCTCGTTTTAAGAGCACCAGCAGGACTTTGAACCTTCTAATATTTCCACGTTGGGATTATTGTCCCCTCTTTAAAATTCCTAATACCAGGGGGCTTCCATGATTTACTGGTAGTCTTCAAACAAAAAAAAACCTCTCTTACAGAACATCCATTGATTGTTACAGTTATTTAAAGGCTAACAATAAAAAATCATAGACTTCAGTCTCCATCAAGGCAGAAAGGAAACAGTAATTGCAATTTGCGAGCCTCCTGCTGTGGGTAAAGGAGCACAGGCTGGGAGAAAGGAAGCTCGGCAATTTTAGTGGCTGTCACAGCAGATCTGGGTGAGATGCGCCGATTCCTTCATACATCATCCTGTGGTAAGAGAATTGGTCAAGGTGAAAAGGTGGCTGTGAGGTAGAAGTGTGCCCAAAGGAACATCTGAGGAGTTCTAAGGAGGACCATCAGATAAAAGCATGAATATATGGGAAGCTGTGGAGGAGTGTATTTGGTGGCTGCTAGTCCTATCTGTCTAGGTAGACAGACCTCGAAAGAAGAGACCTTTTCTGCAAAGATATAACAGTAAATAATATGGTTTCTGACCCCATGTTTTTTGCCATAGTCAAGTCTTGGCTTTAAAAAAAAAGAATAGAAGATGAGTGTTAATATAGTAATATGTATTATTCACCTCTTTCTTCTGCCAAAGGAAAGGAAGGAGGAATTTGGACAGCCACATCTTTTAGGAGTTTCCTTCCCCTTAACCAGAGGCCAGGAGCAGACATACGAGATTTCACAGAGGCAAAGTCCATTGTACTTTATATCCCTGGATGGTAAAAAAATTAAATAAAAATGGGGATATGAATTAGCAGATTCGTAGTTTGGAAAATGTTTGCTCTGCCTTCTGGTACTAACTATGAGGTCCCATCAAACCTCAAACTAGCTCCTCCTCTTCTTGCTATTCTCCACTTTGCATTCTCAGTTTGATAAGGTGGGGATTGGTAACGGCCTCAAAGAAGATCAGTAATGCCCTAGATCAAGAATGAAACATGGAGGACTTTCTCAGTTTTTATCAGTCTCAGAGCTGAATTTCCCTTCCACCTTCTGATTTAGAAGCCCACATAGGTGCATATGGGCTAATCACCATGAGACAATGTGCAAATAAAAGAGGACATGAAAGAGGACCTGACTGCCAAACTTTATGATGTATGAGTCGGAAAGTCATTTTTCTTACCTAGAATCACACAGAAGGACTAATACATACCTACATGGAGTATTCATCAATTTACAAAGATCTGATTTTGCTGTTGTTGAATTGAAAGGGAGTTTTTCCATTCACTTTGCTGAAGGTTAGATTCAGCCCATTGTATATAAAGTTAATTCATTAAATGTAATTCTGTATTGTCTCTATTGTCTCTCTTTTTTTTTTTTTTCCAGAATGCTTGAGGATGATCTGAAACTCAGCAGTGATGAAGATGACAATGAACAGGTAAATACCTCTTATATGAGTGCCTAGACCGAATAATCTGACAAAGTTATTCTATTGGTTGGATGTGATTGCATGTTAGTTTACTATATTTGCGTCAAAAGAATTTTGGTGTGCTGCAGAATCCATTGGCTTAAATATTGCACATAGAACCTCTGTGGGAGGAAAGTTATTCTGAAATAGGAATGCATTTTCAGTTTTGCTGAATTAACTTTGCAAAGTGGATTAAACTAAACCAAAACATGACTTACTGGCCTTGGAATAAGAGACTACACATGGCATCACCCAGGAATAGCTAATGTGCTCTGAGTTTCTATCCTCCATTGTACCAAACTAACTGTGGAACAGCCTCCACTTGTTTCGCACTCAGTTTCTGAAATTGATGACCTTTTTGGAAATCAGTGTAGAATGACCACATCAGACCACCAACACAACTACAGAGCTGGTTTGCTCTTTGCAATTCATTTGTACAATTGCACCCAGGAAGACTGGGTCCATAAGTTCTGTCTCAGTCGTTCAGTAAAGGGCTGGTAGTCCACAGTCAGTAATCTAGTGATTCCCATTTGTGAGAGGGAAAATCCTCAGTGTGTAGCTGTAAATCAATACTGAAAGTCTCTCAACCTGCTTGGCACATTAATGAAGAATCTTTTTCAGAAAACTGGCTCATGTCATTCTCTATCCTTCTCACATTATAAATATTTATGGATAATGCTGGGACATAAAGCTGATGAAATTCATATTCTCTTCTTATCAGAAAAAAAAAAAAAAAGAGACTTTGGGTTAAATTCATCCTTCGTGTTACTTTATATATGCAATAGGCTCAAATGTTTAAACGTCTGCAGGAGAGGAAGGTAATGCTGTAACTCAGCATAAGATCATCTGTTCAGCCTGGGAAATATTAATTATAAGTTGATCTTTCTTATTTATTTTTAAACCACCTAAACGTTCTTCTTCAACCTACCTAATCTGTTCTTTAGGGACATGCCAGGAAAGGTTTACCTTCTAATGTCAGTTGACCCCTTAGACATACAAGTCAGTATTTTTCAGCACTGGGTTAGACGTGCTCTCATCTGAAGCCAAAGGATCAAAAGCCTGTGCCTGTGCAATGCACTGTTGTACAAACGTGGTGCCTTATGAAAACAGCAGGTTTCCTGATCTATTGGAAATTTGCCCAAATACTCATGTAAAATGATATTGTGAAACTCTGAAGACAAAAATATGTAAACGGCAATGTATTGTCAATGTATTCCAATAAGAGTTACTTTTGTTTTCCTACAGTAGTAGTTTTCTAGTGACTTAAGTAGAATTCATAGAATCATAGAATCATTGAGGTTGGAAAAGACCTCTAAGACCATGAAGTCCAACTGTCAAACCAACACCACCATGCCCACTTTATATTATTATATACTATTATTATATTGTGTTATACCAAATTTACACAATTTACACAGCTAAGATGAAATCATATGTCATTGCTGAATGAAGAAGCAAATGCCTGGACCAGCGTTTGCTGACATCAAACAAAAAGTCCTCACTGACTTGAACAGGTGTCATCTCTGATGTTAATCCCAAGCAGGAAAGACATGGTTATGTCTACACTGCACAGCGGAGTACTGATAGCGCTCAAACCATCACTGCTGATGTGTGGTGCGTGCGTGCCTGTTACCCAAAGGCAGCATCATGCATGTGAACATCTCACATTTCTCCCAGTTCACGGGCTGCAGCCTGAGTCCTTGTGTGGTGACGATGTGCCTGAGCTGTAGGAAGCCTCAGACTGCACCAAAACTCCATGTGACTTTCCAGTAATACCGTTCACACCATAAGCTGCAGACAAACAAGAGAGCACCATAAGGACCATTCACGTAGTTTCTCAAAATTTTGTAGTACACAGAAAATGTTTTTCCTTTTGGCAGTATGAGCTTCATCTCACTTTAAGTGACTAGAATTGATTCAAGTCTCTTAAGCTCTCCCAAATACCTTCTTAAAAACCAGATTTTGGTCTATACCTTTAGGGATTCCAAACATGAATGCTGCCAGTCACGTAGAAATTAAATGGTCTGGACAAGAAGCACACTGAGCATATTCCTTCATGCTGTGCGCTTCAAGGGAAACCTTCACCTTTCCTAGGTACCCTGCATATGTATGGTTGCATCTCTTTTATTTGTATTACAAATAGAGGCTATAGACAAAGTTATACACATTACAGGAAAGAATCCTGCAGCTCTTTAGGTTTCCTGAATGAATGACTGTGCGTGTCTGTCCTTTAGATTTTTGTCACACTCTGCATCCCAGACTGAGGCCTTGCAAAGCGGAGCAGCATGGCTCTGCTGCATCACTCACACGTTACACTGGCAGTGCCTCCACACTCTAGCAGCTTCTGCCATATCTCTTTAAAGAGAGGGGGTCGGAAATGGAAAGAAAGGTTGCTGTGGCCCACTGGTCAGACACATAAACATCAACAAAGTAGCTGCAATGATTTTTGACTGCAAAATGTTTTTTCCAAAAAGTATATAAAATATTCATTCATGAGGGACAGATCAAGGCAATTACCATATGTGAATTTACAATGTTGCATGTTCAGCTGTGAAGCCCAAGGTTAGAAAAATACCTTTTTTTTTTTTTTAACATAAAGATTTTGCAGTCAAACGACCGTTGTAATTCAGCTGTACACACGTGCACATTCTGACAGGGAGAGAAAAGATTAAAACTCTCAGCTCAAAACCATCCTAACAGTTTATGCAACATTTCTATAAGGAATTGAAATCATTTGCTTTACAATCTTTCTGATTTTTTTTTTTTTTTGCTATAGTCTTTCAGCCAATGTGAAGCATGAGCTAGCATTTACTCATTTTTATCATTTACAGTTATCATTTACATACAACACAGTATGTAAAAATCAAGTTTGTTATCCTTATCTCTACTCATATTTCAAGGAAATTGAAATTCTTTGCAAACAGTGGTCGATAGGGAGCCCTAGGATTTGTCCTTTGAGAATTGCCAGGGACCCTTCAATCTTTACACGGCAGGGGTGGTAGTGACACTGATCCATAAACGCACCTTGATCTCAACTTTTAGTGACTGTCTATAGTACATGGAAAGAGTTTGATCTATCAGCCTGTCTTCTGAAACTACCAGTAGTCCATTTGTCATGGTGGAAGATTGTTAGAAGCTTGTCTGCAAGAAACAAAGCTCTTCTGTCTTACTCTCTTGCTCGTATGAACAAGCACACTTAGTTCTGATCTGTATTGCGTTTAGTTAAGGGTCCATGGCCATTGTGCATTCAGGTGTTAAACATCCCTTCCTTTTCTCCCCACTGCGAGGAGAAACCCAACACATATGATAGCTCCAGTCAGTCATATAGCTAAGAAGTTGAGTCTGATTTCTGGATAGGATGAGAACTACCAGGTTGAGGTCAGTAGAAGGTTTTTTATTCTATAGATAGTATTAACAAGGCTGTCACTGAACATGCTCCACATTTTTAGCATTCACTTTTCAAACCAGGATTTTGAATAACTGCAATTTGTTCCTAAGAGTTATAAATGGGATCTGAAGAACCCTCCTTAATATGTTAGGTTTTTTGGTTAAGGCACGCGTGATGATGGCCTAGCAACGTAACACCAAGAAAAAGATTCCTGAAAGGAGGCTATAAACTTTAATTTCACCCCAGAGGGCTTAAGAGCTTCAGCAAGTGACAGCTATCTGGAAATCCAAACTACTAATGCCAAACTGCTGCAAATTGCATGGAAACCTTGTGGTTTTCCTCTCCTTTTAGACTTCTGGCAGTTGTGGAGTTGATGCAGACGTTGTCAAGTCAATTTCTTTGGGCTGTGACATGCAGAAGGTCCAATGAGATGTTCATTGCAGGTGCCTTCAGACTTCAGATCTGTAAAGCTTTGGGCCATATTTGCTCTCATTGCAATAGAGTGTGAGGCAAGCTACAAGTCACTCCACTCCCACTGCAAACTCCCATCATCACTTTTTGGGCCTTGCTTGGAGAGACTGCAGTTACTGACTACATCTAACACATGTAAACACACCCCACAGTATCTTCCATGTAGACACTTTGGAGCTGGCCATATGACACATCCTTTGTGCCATAGACAAAATGCTGATTCTTCTGTCTCATTGCGGGTGATTTGGGATTAAAGACACACAGAAAACGACGGGTTAGATCTGGAATCAATTTTCATTTACAGCTGAGAAGCAGTTATTGATGCTGTGCTCACAGTTCAATAAAAGATCTGAAGATATAGACCTTCTGTTTCTCTTTCAATATAAGCAGCATAATCAGTGTCAAATGTTTTTACAAAGAATATTGTATTGACAGTTTTATTAAAATCGCTGTCTTTAAAGTTTTAAGTTATCCACAATTTGACCTACTTGAATGGTTCTTAATATGCACACTGACAAACCCAATAGATTTTTATGTCACATATTTATAATACCAGGTACACATCTGTTTAATGTATTATTTGTGAGATATTTTACATTTAAGCATTGCCTGGATTGTAAACTCTTGTAGTATTGTCACTGGGAGGAACATTGGCATATGCATCTCTATTACATTCAGAAGTCCTACTCCACAATATTGTTAGATTTGCTACAAGAGATACAGTCAGGGCAGATGACAGACATGTTGTTAGTAAAACCATTAGATGACAAGGCATTTCAGAGATGCTCATGTTAACACTCTTCTGTGAGGAAGGACAGAGCTTTTAGATGGCTTTATTACTCTGTTAAAAAAATACATCAGAAATTAGGAAGAGTAGTGAAGATTTTTAATTAGTAGCTCGGTTCAGCTAAAAGAGCTTAGATAAATCACAGGTTAGTATTTTTGTTCTTTAAAGCACCTCTGTATAATTCAAATTAGCTTTGAGCTCAAAGGCATCCAAATGAGTTGTGCCTGGATACAGTATTTTAAGTAGCTGTAGTGTACCCAATTTTCTTGAACCAGCTCCTCTTTGTTCTTCTGCCTAAGGAATAGTCCTGTTAACCTTTGAAAT